AGAACAGGCAGTGCTCTTAACCACTGAGCCATCTCTCCAGCCCCTTATATCTTGATCTAAAAATTGGAGGCAGGCAGACAGAGACAATGGGAATGAAACCTCCAAGCCTTCCCACCAGTAGTAACAAAGCTCCAATAAGACCTCATCTCCTTCCTTATCCTTCCCAAACAGTTCTGGTAACTCAAGTATTCAAACATGAGCCTATGGAGGCCTTTCTCATTCAAACCATTACAGTGTCTGCTCTTTTTTTTTGCCTCGATATATGCCCGCACGCCAGAGGAGGGCGCCAGATCTCATTACAGATGGTTGTGAGCCACCATGTGGATGCTGGGAATTGAACTCAGGACCTCTGGAAGAGCAGCCAGTGCTCTTAACCTCAGAGCCATCTCTCCAGCCCCAGTGTCTGTTCTTGAAATTTTAGGGAGAGTTTAATAGAAAAATTCTAGGAACATTAAAACTTAAGTTTTTGTTACATTGGATGGAACTTCTTTTCTTTTTTGAATAGCTGATTTTCAGAGAGGTTGGAATATATGGGTTATTTATAATGTTAACTGCTGTGCTGTGATAAGTATAGTCTCCTTGTGACATTTTATACCTGTGTATAAGGTACTTTATTACACATGTAGAGAGCCAAAGGTGATATTGGGTGTCTTCCTTGGTTGATCTCCATTTATTGAAATAGGACCTCTGATTTCCCACTTCTAGTCCAGCTAGCCAGCTTGCCCTGGCAATCCCCCTCTGCCTCCCCCTTATGGTGATTAAAGTTGTTTAGTTTTTCTCAAAGATTGACATACTGTAGAAGGGCATTGATACAATGATGAATATAATTGATTCATCTTGGGTAGATAGTCTTGGGCAGGTAACTTCTTTGAAGGTTAGTTTAAGACGGGAGTAATGGCTTGTTGTAGTGTGCTCATCTGTAATAGCAGGACACTGAAGGCCAAGGCAGGAGGATTCCAAGTTGGAACCAACTTGGGTTGTGACTGTTTTTTTTTTTTAATATTTATTATGTATACAATATTTGGTCTGTGTGCATGTCTGCAGGCCAGAAGAGGGCACCAGATCTCATTACAGATGGTTGTGAGCCACCACGTGGTTGCTGGGAATTGAACTCAGGACCCTTGGAAGAGCAGGCGACGCTCTTAACCTCTGAGCCATCTCTCCAGCCCCCCTTGACTGTCCTAGAATTCACTCTGTAGACCAGGCTGGCCAGGAACTCATAGATCTTCCAGCCCTTTGCCTTCCAAGTGCTGGGGTCCAAGTTGTGTGCAACCACGGCTAACCAGGCCTTTTCCTTTAAAAAACATTGTAGTTTTGAGTTTGTTTTTTATTACTTTAGGTAGATTTTAACTAACTATTTCAACTTCTTTCTTATTTCCCCAGGAACGTCAAGGTCGTGGGAAATAAAAAGCGGTTCTGCACAGACTGCAGCAACGGTTGCATCTGCTTATCCTAAGAGGACACAGTGACCTTCAAGAAAATTAGGACTTTTTTCTTAATTTCATTGACTTCAGAGACAATTGCAAACTTGCAGTTTAAGTATTGGAATTCACAAAAAAAGAAAAAGAAACATAGGACTTAACTGGAAAATGGAGGAAAAAAAAGGAAAAAAAAAAAAGGAAAAACCTAAACAAAAATTCCCTCTAGGTAGTTTAGGTAAAAAAATGTCCCTTTTATTTTGGCTTTGGTTGTGATTCAAAGCATAATGCTTTGAGTTTTTTTTTTTGTTTTTTTTTTTTTTGTTTGTTTTGGTCTTAGTGTCTGTGCTGGCTAGTTTTAT